CTCGTTTACTCAAAACTCTTCTAACAGTCTAAATGATTACCTCACTTGCAAATCTTATTTTCATAATCTTCACTTTTCCACTTTACAGAAGAAAAACATGCCCCCTGTTATCCCAGCTGATACAACAATGCACTGTCTCAGAGTAAAAAAACTGTCCCAGAGTGTAAAAACCACAAAGCCATCAAAAAAAAATTTCAAGATATAGATTCTGAGGAATAAAATAGATCTTTATAAGAAACAGAAACATGCTGAATCCTATCTTATCCAAGGGACAAACTTTTGGCAACTCCTCTCTGTTATTTATACAGAACAATTAGAATTCAGAAGTGAGATCATAATTTGGGGTCATGTTTTAGCATTTACTTGAATTAGAAGGTAGTCAGCCTTTTTCTGACAAGTCAATTCAATGAATTAATCTGACAATAAGAATTGTATATTATGAGGGCATGTAAATGATACTTCTAATATTCTGACAATAAAAGGTAAAAGGTAAAGGCCCTCCCGTTGATCGTCGATTTGCTCGAGCGGGCCCAGTAACATCTCCATTGGAGACTTTGTTGTTACTGTGTCTGGCATATCGAATACTCTCGGTAGCTTGCCGGGCTCTCCGAGAGGGGCGGAGGAATCAAACTCGGGTCGGCCATGTTGGCCGCTTGTAAGGCGAACGCCCTACCCGCTGTGCTATCGCTCCAGCCCATTCTGACAATATATTTAAAATATATGTTCTCTCTGGGTTTTATAAATTATAAAACCCAGCTCCCAGAAGAGAACAGCACAGAATCTTCTGCCCCTGCGCCCGGCTGTCCTCACCAGGGCCTTTTGGAGGGGGGCGGGTTGAGTCTCCCTCCTCCCCCTCCCCAGCAGAGCCCGGCAGTCGAAGATCTCCAGAACCAGCCACAACTATGCTGAGACCACTTTCCACACGCATGAAGGTACCAGCATGCGGGTCCTGGGCTGAGATCTCCAAGCTTGCTCGGATCGGGGCTGAGCATCCTCCACCCAGATCCTCCATCTTCCAGTAGGTAGGGGTCACACCCACCATCTGACCCCCAGCGCTGTGTAATCCCATCAACAGCCAAGACCCAGAGACTATAAAACCCAGCTTTTGGAAGCTTCCGACATCTTTATTATCTCATTCTTACTTTGGACAACCTGGCAGGCTACCGAATGTAACCTGCCTATACTGCAGAGTCTGGCAAACTCCCCGTGGCGTACCCAATATGCCAAACACCAGTAACAATGATGGGTCCCATTCTCCTAACCCTGAAAGAGCCTTGAATATGGCACTTTTTAAAATCTCAGGACTAGGGCGAAGGAGACATTACTGGTGCTGGCTCGGGGCAATCGACGAACAACAGGATGATCGTGATCGTGATATGTTCCCTCTAAAATGAACTGAATGTATATACCACAAAACAGCTTAACAATACTTCCAAATTAGAAAACTTTGAAATTATCAAAGAATCAATAACAGATTTCAAAGGGCATCTGAACAAATATGCTAGAAGCAGAATGCTGATAAAGGGCAACTAACCCATAGAATAAGTCCAGCAACAAAAGGAAGAAGACAACCGCCATCAATATGAAGATCCAGATTCTCCTGCTACGTTAGAACCACCTGTCCTCTCCAATCCCATGAAAATGCCGCCAAAAGACAATTGTGACTTGACAGCAAAGCCCTAGACAGCTTTTAAAAACCTTGTGTCCTGGGCACCCTAATTCATCTTGTTCTGGATTCTGTCAAAAAGAATACACTTCCTACCCACTCAACAAGGTGAGTTAAGAGGGCAGCTCTCACATTAAGTGTTCTTATCCTCAAAGTCAGGGAGAAGGAAACTTCTGGAGGTGATGAATATGTTTACTACCTTAATTGTGGTGCCAGTTATCACAAATAGTGACTCGAGCCCAAACTCATCAGAAACTTGTATGCTTTAAACATGCGCAGGCTTTGTATTTTTAGTGACATCCTATATATCCCCATAAGTGTGCTTAAACAAATGCACTCTTCTTAGAAAGAATCCCTAGACCAAAATGGAAAACAAACGTGATTGGGGGCTTCCACATGTCAACAAGCCATTCTCAGGGACCAGGTACTCGCCCCACCCCCCAAGATCACCCTACACCCGAGGGAATCTGACCAACCAGCTATACATCAGAGGTTGCGACAACTCGACCTCAGGTTAACCTGCTAAACCAGCTCACAGAACTCAGAAAATCCATTTATTCACTAGATCAGCACTTTATTAAAGGATGTAACTCAGGAACAGCCAGACAGAGATGTATGGGGCAGGGTCTGGGGAGATGACACAGACCTTCCACGCCCTCTCTGGGAGACTCTGCCCAGTTCTTTGTTTGCCAACTTGGAAACTCCCACCCTCATCCCAATAACTTGCCATCTGCAAGTGAACTTGATTTCCATTTTATCTCTTTTCCAGTGAAGGCCTAGGGGTAGAACTTCCAACCTTCCGAGAGAGAGAGAGAGAGAGAGAGAGAGAGAGAGAGAGAGAGAGAGAGAGAAAATTCTGACTTTGGAATCAAATGTTGTTTCTATAAGAAATCAGCTTTAGGTGCTTCCAAAGTCACCTCATTCACATCACAAACGACACCTTTATTATTCTCAACACTGAGAAAATTCTAAGGATTTAGGGAACTGTGATCATTTACTATGAATAAAGACCAAATATGCCTATGTTTTCCCTTAGAAATCACAGTATCAGCTGGGACTGGAGCAATAATATAGTGGGTTGGGTGCTTGCCTTGCATGTGGCTGACCTGAGTTCAATCCCCAGCATACCAAAGGGTCCCCAGGCACTGCCACAAGTAATGTAATCCCTAAGAACAAAGCCAAAAGTACGCCCCGAGCACAGTATGGTTTCCCCCAAAACAAACAAACAAATAAAAAATAACCGCAGTATCACAAGTCTAAATAATTTATCATAAGCAAGAGTATATCCATCTCCTTCTTACTATGAATTTCTTCTAAATACATCAAGAAATGTTACCTCCTCTAATCTTATTTTTGCTACCATAAATATGTTTCTCTCACATACAGACATATACTTTTTGCCTCTCATAAATATATTTATTTATTCAAACTTGTTTTATCTTGATACTGATACATTTTCTAAGAGAATTTTGTAGTGAAAACTCCTAGTGCCTTTAAATCTCAAAGAAATATTTTAATAAGAATCAAGACTTTGGAGAACATCTATGAGAATTCATGAAACTTATCATCTCTACTATACATCTTTGCTCAATAAATTTATTTTTCAGTCACACCAAAGTTCAAGACACTGCAAAAATCTTGGGTTTGCATGGTTTTGAAATGACGCTACAAGGAATGAATGAAGTTATCAAATAGAATAATCCATATAGAAAGAGTCTCTCCCATTTTAAAAAATAATTTCTAAACTGTAAAATATGAATATGTACCTATTGCTCCAGCCCATGCATATGTATGATATGTGTAATTATCTTAAATAACTTTTTTCATTAAAAATTCATTTATGGAATTGTTCTATTACTTGTTAATCCATGCTCTGTTTTGTGTTTGTTTGTTTGGGGTCACACCCAGTGGTGATCAGGACTTACTCCTGGCTCTGTGTTCAGGGGTCACTCCTGGCAGAGCTAGTGGAACTATATAGGGTGCCAGAGATCAAACTGGGTCAGCAGCATGCAGGGCAAGTGCCCTATCCTCTGTACTATTGCTCTGGTCCTCTAAAGCATTTAAACCTTAACATTTATAAAAGTGCCGTGTAATCCCATCAACGGCCAAGACCCAGAGACTATAAAACCCAGCTTCCGGAAGCACGCGGCCACATTTGCAGCCGTGCGAGATCTTATTATCTAGTTCTTACTTATTATCTAGTTAAACCGAAAGTATCCTGCCCACAGCTGAGTCTGGCAAACTCCCCATGGCGTATTCAATATGCCAAAACCCAGTAACAATGATGGGTCTCATTCTCCTCACCCTGAAAGAGTCTCAAATGTGGCACTTTCTATAATCTCAGGGCTAGGACGAAGGAGATGTTACTGGTGTCTGCTCGAGGAAACTGATGAACAACAGGATGACAATGATACAGTGATTTATAAAAGTATTTGGAATATAGAAATAAAAAAATTTTATTGCGTTGGGTAAAGGGAAACAATCATATTAATGAGACACAAGCTCTAAATAGTAGCTGCACAGGGGAGTGTAAAGACGGTGGCAGGCTTCTCTTCCCACAGAGACCGAGTCCCTGTCTACAACGTACAATCCATGGAGAAACAGCTGAGAGCTCGGTGGACGGCTTTATCAACTAGAGACTCACACCCCAGAATGTCCCACAGCAGCTGCCAAGATTTCTAGAACTGATACTAGAGCAAGAATTTTCCATCTGTTTTCTCAACTGATTGAATGCAATGAAACATCTTATAATATCATATGACTGTCTATTTCTGTGCATTCTGGCGATGCTTCATTTTCATGTGCATACATATATGTATATACATATATATGCTGATTATCAGTGAATCATTGCATTCTGGGAATGCCATTATTTTCATATCCATATACATAAACACATATACATATATGTGCATGTATGTATGCAGTGGATCATTCTATTCTTTTTTTCTTACCTATTAACAAAACTGATATTCATTCCATTCACCTATCAATGCCAATCAATGAGTTGTGAGTGAAACCAATAAATCTGCAAGTAGTATTAATGAGTAAGCAGGACACTGTGCTGCTTTCGTGAGCAAAACAATGGGTCCTTGTGTTTTCTCTCCTCTCTCTACAGAAAATAAACAGAATTCCAGAGCAAGCCGGAAATAGTGTTTGGATCTCCATAATTGTATTCATTTATTTAAAATTCCCTCCATCATACTTCCTGGCTGTACAGATGACTTTGTTTCCCAAATGGAACTGTGCTCACTGTCTTTAAGACACTAAATATTACAAAGTGTTTTCTCTTTCACTCTTCCCAAACTTAAGTGATAAAGTGATAAACCCTTACCTTTGTCGAATTATGCTGGGGTTAGCCGTCACTAAGTGACTTTTGGATCCAACATCTTTGGTGTATTCACTTGACAAGGGCGGGAGATTGCATCTAAAAAAAAAAAAGAACAAGAACAAACATTTTAGAGTGGCTTACCTAGGTATTAAATTGAAGCAGGCATGATGGATTGGAAGTTTACTAAGTCTAGCTCAGTTCATAAGTAACTTCTTATTACCTCTCCCCGGGGTTTAATAGACATTCGCTGACTAACTTTCAGCAATTTCAAAATGCTATCATAAAAATTTGTTTTGGAAGAAATATAAAGACAGCCAGAAAGGTAAACGAGCTACAAAAGAAAAGAAATAAAACTAAAATGAATTCATCCCATTCAAAATATTTGTTGAAGTGATGGGACCAGCAGAAATTAGAACTCAAGAGTGTGGTTTCTAAAAACAGTGACAACCAGGGACCCCAAGATGTCCTAAGGGGCCACAGATGAAAAGAACATAGATGGAGGGCACGTCACAAGAGCAGGGGGCCAAGCAGTAGGACAGGGCGAACTCAGGAAGGAAATTAGGTCAAAAGAGGTTGAGAAGCATTGGCCTAGAGGACAAAGGATCCACCATGTTTTCTGCATATCCACATACCCCAAACCACAGAGAGAATTAAATTTGCTCTTTTTTACATTTTCCTTTCCCAAGTTCTAAGGACATATTCAGGGCAAATTCTCAGAGGAGAAATTAGGACAAGATCATAATATGAAAATGGAAACTCTACATTTTATTTGGCGTTTTCATTAATAATAATAAATGCACATTGAATTTTAATTATATGCTATTTACATTACATTATATTCTTGAACTTTTGAATTCTCTTATGCAGATGACCAACGTACGTGTTAACTACGGTGAAGGCATAATGACTGTCATGTAGAGAATTGCAATAATTATCCACCATCCCAGTTCAGCCAAGGAAAAGAGCACAGGTAATATTTCTCTGGGGACAGAAATGGCTACCCTTTCCTTCCTTCACACAATCACCCTCACTCTGGCTGTTTCCCTTGGCTACAATGTTTCCTAAGTCTTTATAAAGGAAAATATGGCCAATCCAAATCCTATGGCTTTCTGCCAGCAGACATTGGGCAAGTAAATTCATCAACCTGGCCTCAGTTTCCCCAGTAGGCAAAATAAGAGTTATGGCTTTTCTTCTCTAACGAGGTACTTGTATGATTAAAAGGAGAAATGCAAGAAAAATTCTCACCTTGATAACAGCACAAAAGTTCAAGAATATAATGTAATGTAAATAGCATATAATTACAATTCAACGTACATTTATTATTATTTATGAAAACTCCAAATAAAATCTAGAGTTTCCATTTTCATATTATGATCATGTCCTAATTTCTCCTCTGAGAGTATCTCTCTCTTCAGTCCTACCACTTCAGGGCATATCTAACTCTTTATTTTTCCAACAAGCAAAATGATCGTTTGCGGAGAAAGGTATCTTCCAGATAGCCAGGGCCTTGTGAGTTTCCCAGGTGAGTTTTTATGATTATCATAAATAATTTCTTCTTCATAAATTATTTTTAAATTTACTATCATAACAAGTCTCAATGGAGACGTTACTGGGCCCGCTAGAGCAAACTGATGAACGGGAGGACAGTGACAGTGACAGTGATTATCATATTAATTTTCCTAAAGCGACACTGTAGTAAAACGTGATGTAAGTTTCATATGTGCACCACTATATCTCTCAACTGTGAAATCTTCCTACAAATCTTCCCCAGGGCACAGACCTCTCCCTGCATCCACTCAGCTGATCAGCCGAGGCTCCCCAATGCGGTTTCACATGTACCCTATGACTCATATCAGACCGTTTCAGAGCATCCTGGGTAGAAACTCATCTCTGTTGATTTGGAATCTTCCTTTCACCTATACTCTGGTAATGAGCTACTGAAGCTTAATTGGTAAGCCAATGAGTGACTTAACCGTCTGCATTGAGACCAAACACAAGGGGGTAGGGTGGGAATCCCAGGCAGAGCAAGTTGTAAGCTTAACCTTGAGAGGCCTGCAGTGTGGGGAGGCACCGGATCTCATGTGGTTCTGAGGATCCTCTTGAGGAGGTGAGCTGAACCCCAAATACCACACTCGCCCAGAAGTGGCACTGACAGTCTTGTGATTTAACTGATCTTGGCAGAGATAAAGCTGGTGCACAGGAAAAGACCAAGGCTAAATACTGAACATTTGGCACCTAAAAGGCTTTGATCTTTTTTTTAACCTGAAAATTTTAGTTTATTCTTTTTTTTCCTCCTATTTTCTTTATTTCAACATAGTTTTTTTTCCCATTTATGTCCTTTTTTTTTATTAGTGAATCACCGTGAGGCACAGTTACAGACTAACAAACTTCCATGCTTGCATTTCAGTCATACAATGGTCGAGTATCCATCCCTCCACCAGTGCCCTTTTTCCAGCACCAATGGTCCCAGCATCCCTCTCACCATCCCCACCCATCCTCCCTCCCCCCACTCCGCCTCTGTGGTAGGGTAAAAGAGTTCTGATCTTGATCCATTGTAAAATGGAAATGAACCAAGCTATATTCAAACCTAAACTCTGATATTGTCAGTTGAGTAGACTCATCCTGTTTTCACCTTTATTCAATGAAATTAAGTTGGCTTTCATGGTTCAATACTTTGTTTACCATGTGGTTCATGGAGGGAAATTCATGGCTCTTAAATCATGGAGCCATTCATACTTAGAACCCAAAAGTAAGAGTTCAAGAAAAACAGGTGAATAATGACTGCCAAATAAAGGCTTACACCACTTCAGGGCTGGAATGATAGTCCAGTGGACAGGGCATTTGTCCTGCATGTAGCTGACCCGGGTTTAGTCCCAGGCATCATATATGAACACGCTGACTACTGCCAGGAGTGATCCCTGAGCTCAGAGCTAGAAGCCCTGAATACTGCTGGGTATAGCCATAAAACACTTGATCACACTTGATCACTTAACTTCCCGTTAATCATCGATTTGCTCGAGCGGGCGCCAATAATGTCTCCATTCGTCCCTGTCACATGCTAGTATAGCCCAATGGAATCTGTTTGTTCTAGGAACACGAAGAGCCTCAAATCGAGGTTCTTTTTTTGTTTGTTTTTGTGTGGCCATAAAACAAAACAAAACAAAAAAGAGATGTTACAGGTATTTTTCAATGCATCTGCATTTCTGGGGGAAAAAATGACATGTTTTAGTATTAAAATCTGCCCGAATGGGCTGGAGCACTAATATAGCAGGTAAGGCACTTGCCTTATATGCAGCTGACCTGAGTTTGGTCCCTGGCACCCCAGAGGGTCCTCTGAATCCACCAGATCTGAACCCTGAGCACAGAGCTAGGAGTAACCCCTGAGCACTACCGAGTGTGCCCCCCCAAACAAAAAAAAAAACAGAACAAAAATATGTCTTAAGTTCTGAGTAAACTTTCTCTTCAAGTGTACAGGTGTCCCCTGCAGTGTTTCCTTTCCCAGAAAGTGGGGGGCACAACAGAGCTTCCTCCTGGCTCTACACTTAGGGACCACTGCTAGTGGGGCTTAGCGAGGGCCGGTGGACTCTGGGCTGCCTCGGCCCAGCCCCTCCTAGGCCTTGACTCATTCCTTGTGGAAATGAACACTGGAGCACTGTTGCACAGTCCTCCCGTTGTTCGCCGATTTGCTCGAGCAGGCCCAGTACCGTCTCAATTGTGAGACTTGTTGTTACTGTGTTTGGCATATCGAATACATCATGGGTAGCTTGCCAGGCTTTGCTGTGCAAGCTAGATACGCTAGGTAGTTTGCCAGGCTCCCTGAGAGGGGCCGAGGAAGTGAACCTGGGTCCTGGGTCAGCCAGGCCGGCTGCATGCAAGGCAAACACCCTATGGGTGTGCTATTGCTCCAGGCAATCTATTAAAAAAAAAGTTCTTTATTTAATTTTTTTTTTATTTTTAGGTCACACCTGGAGATGCTCAGGGGTTACTCCTGGCTCTGCACTCAGGAATTATCCCTGGCAGTGCTGGGGAACCATATGGGATGCTGGGAATGGGCACTGGTGGAGGGATGGGTGTTTGATCATTGTACAACTGAAACCCAAGCACAAAATTTGTAAATCTACAACTGTACCTCATGGTGTTTCACTAACAAAAAACTTTTAAAAATATGTAAATGATGGAGAATGGGCACTGGTGGAGGGATGGGTACTGGATCATTGTATAACTGAAACCCAAGCACAAAAACTTGTAAGTTACAACTGTACCTCATGGTGTTTCACTAATAAAAATTTTTAAAAAACTGAGATCAGTAGCAAATCCTTTCCCTCCTTGGCTCAGCTTTCAGCCTCAGCTTTCTCAGCGACGGGCCTTCTAACACCTGGTTGGCAGTCATTTCCATTTCAGTGAGACCATGCTCCCTCCTTGGCTCAATCTTCCCGAGAGCCGCAAAGTAATCCCAGACTTCTGTTTCACAACCCTCAGAGAAGCTAACCTCTGAGCATCCTTAGAAAAGCTGAAAATGGAAATCCAAGCTCAGCCGCACTCTGGCCTCTTCTCTGCTCCTGTACTCTTCGGCGGACTGCATCCTTCTCCCTTCTCCACATAATCCCAAACCTGCATGTGTCCCCTCATTCCTGTCCTCTGTGTCATCATCACCAGAAGTGAGGCGGGTGCCGCCCAGTCAGACAGCTCCTACCCTTGGCTGGAAGCGCCTTCTCATTCCTTTAATGCCAAAGTCTGCAGAAGTCTCTGGTTGACCCTGGGACTCTCTGAAGCTTCCTCTTTACTCAAAACTCACCCCTGCTTTGCTCTCCTACTTCTTCCTAGACACGCACAGCTCAAATCCCTTGCTACCTACAGATGCTTTTGTGAGAAATTTATAAAAAAGAGTAGCATGAAGTGAATAAATTAAATGTGTTTTCATAAAGTTAGTCCTTTTTCAAAAAAAAAAAAGTTTTTGGCCTGAAAGGGTCATCTGAAATAAAACGAGTGTTTCCATTTTTTTTTGGGGGGGGGGGACATTCTCCAAGATCTAAGCTCTGTACTTCCTCAGGCTTGTTCCTTTGTGCCCCCACAAGCCCCCGCCAAAACCCACTACCAAACTCACTTGTGTGTGAACTTGGAAGGAATAAGGAGCTGCTACAAACGATTAATCCCAAGTGAGTGGTTTCCAAAGGCCCCGGGCTCTTGGGAGGGGTGAGGGAAGGAGAGGGGGCGAGGCCCAGCCAGGGGTGCGCTCTTACCGCATGACAAAATCGGCTTCATCTATTTGCCGGCCACAGCCACTGTTCTTCAGAATCCCACCATTCCCCACCACAGCACATTTCTTCAAGGGCAGCTGGAATGGGGTTGCCTAGCAACAGAAAACAAGGCGGGTTTTCACTGAAGAGAATAGACAAGTGCTCACAAAATCGTTGTTACAGTCCAGCCCTTGGCTGAATTTGCTTGAAGTCTGAGCAGAGTAAAAAGAGACAGGAAGCTGCTAAGAGGTTTGTAAGGAATGAACTAGCCTCTTCTTTGAAAATTAAAACAAATTAAGGCTTGACATGTATTTAAATATATAGATTTCTTTTTCTGTGTCAAATGGACCATGCAACCAGCAGAAAATGTCCTCCAGAAAAACAAAAATCTTCGAGCTAATCCCAGATTTATTATTTTGTATGGACATACTGCCAGAGCCTGGACCCCAAATCTCACACATGCAAACACACACTCAACCACTGAGTCACATTCCCATCCCCAGAGAATTCATTTTAAAGGCCCTCAGCTGGGAACAAACTCAAATCTATTCCATTCCCCCCACTGGAATACAATCAATTTCATTCACTCATTTATATACTCGGTCACTCAACTAACGAGTGCTGTCCTACGCTACATGTTGGGGACAAACACGAAAGCACAGATTTCACGGGTGAACACAGATTCTCATGTAACATTCTAACACGATGCTGGAATCTCCCGTCTGCCCACATGCTTGAAGCTGTGCTGGATCCCAGGGAACGGCGATGAGATGATGCCAGTCAGGAACGCTCTCTCTCTCACTCGAAGCAAAACTTAAAGTGCAGGATTTTGCCAAGCAGAGAATGCAGTATAAATAAGGCACAGGCGCTGCTGAGGGCAAATCTATGTTTATAAGCCAATGAACACCTCAGTGGTCTGTCTGGAACTCCAGAGGCGCCAGCGGTAACGGTGCAGGAGCAGACAGCCCGTGACCTTCGCCAACTGCACAACACACGGTAAAGAAAACGCTCAGTGTGCCCGAGCGTTCCCTGAAGGGCTATTTATAGAACCAGGGACAAGCACAGTCTGAGGTAGCCCTGAGGATAAAATGTGTCATTCCCTCTCTTTTCCTTGAGTCAGCAAGAGTCACCAAGCTCAGAATTTCCTGCCTGTTAAAACAATGCAGAGTCGCTGGAATTCTCTGAGTAAAGACCTTGCATCTGTGTAACGTGGAGCGGGGGAAACTCTATGGTATTGAGCGGGCCATGCTAGCCCAAACCTGCAGCAAATGATAAGTACTATCACCAAAAAACTCAGTGGAATAAGTACATGAATATCAGTGGAATAAGTACATGAATATATGTCACGGGGACCAGACATAGGCATAAAGTAATTAAACCGTGAAAGAAAAAAAAGATTCCAGGAGTCCATGAGGCCACTGGTTGCTGAAGAGAATTTCACTTCCTTTGGAGAGCTTTCCAAAGCAGAGCTTTGAAAATATAGCCGATGAAGACACGGCATTTAGGGGTAATGTGTGGGCATTTGCCAACATGAGTACAAGCAATTCAGGCCCATAAGCCCCACAGCAAAGACAGGCAAAAACAAACCCTGCCAGATGCCCAGGATGACCCAGAATATCCATGACATCTTTCTGCAGTCCCTCTGGACAGAAGGACGTGAACTCAACCCTAGAAACACACTTGTCAGATCTAGAATTCAGTAGGTGTGACTCCATTCACCGCCCAAGCTGGCTGCTCACTTATTCCACAAGGGGACTAAGTGCAATGAGAGCCAGGTACTGTCCTGGGTGATAGGGACCAACGCATGATCCTGCCACCCAGGGATTCTACTGAGGAACTGAATGACAGAGAGAGGCACAAACCATCAGCCTGTCGGGTGGGGACATGGCTGTGGAGAGAAATAAATTGGGGGCAGACTCTGGCACTAAGGATCAGGACAGGTTTGGAAGGGGGATGGCCACTTCCCCAAGATGGTCAGGGCACAACTCCTGACAGGCACACACACAAGTCCCTGCAGGAGCTGCAGCAGTGTGTGTGTGAGTGTGTGTGTGTGTGTGTGTGTGTGTGCACCAGGAGGAACCACAATGCAAAGATGGGAAAGGGAACACTTCAGGACTCTGAGAGGGAGGCAAAGATTCGCTGTGTCTGCAGCTCAACTAAGCAGAGAAGTAGGAGAGACTTGAGAACTAGCCAGTGAGAGAATACACCAGAGTCACTGTCACTGTCACTGTCCTCCCACTGTTCATCAATCTGCAGGCACCAGTAATGTCTCCATTGTGAGAGTTGTTGTTACTGTTTTTGGCATATGGAATACGTCACGGGGAGCTAGCCAGGCTTTGCCATGCGGATGGGATACTCTCGGTAGCTTGCCAGGCTTTCTGAGAGGGGCAGAGGAATCGAACCCAGGTCTACTGCGTGAAAGGCAAATGCCCTACCCACTATGCTATTGCTCCAGCCCAGTGAGAGAATGGAAAACCCATTTCCTGGGGTCTTGCGAGGTATTACAAAGACATTGTTTTTCCTCAAGAGGAGACTCGAGTCAATGTAGGATGAGCAAAGGAATGACATTATGTCAGGCTGGCTTAGTCAGTGCCAATACCTCAATACGCTGTACAATGTCATGGGGAGAAGACACTGGCCCAGCTGTGTCAGTCTCCGCTACCAACTGACTAGAGGTTTTGTGGCTTGGCCTGTGATGATATCAGTGGGGCTAGTGAGAACAAAGTAGATTCTGCAGATTTGTAGGTGAAAAAGATGACTCAGGATGCTGAAGGAAGGGTAAGACGGCAAAAAGACGAGTCAGAAATGACGCCCAAGATCTGGCTTCAACGGTTACTGGAATGGGGAAGGTTACAAGAGGCACAGGTCTGGAGCTCAACTTTATATTTGTAAAATACAAGATGCCCAGTATACATTTAAGTGGCAACTAACTGCCCAGCAGCACCTGAATAGACGAGAATGTAGCAAGGAAACTTGTATTTCCTGGAGCTACGAAGGTGGATGCGATCAGCAGACAAAGGGTCCTTAAACTCAGGAGACTAGATGGTGAGTGAAGACAGAAAGGGAGAGGCGGAAGTCTGAATCCCATATCACTCCAACCAGAAGAACAGAAAATGGCAAAGAGACAAAAACGGTGTAGTTGATGAGCAAACTGGAAACTGAGTTTTAAAGAAAGGTGTACAGAAGGAGAGAAATACACATGGAGTCCAAAAGCACTGTGGTAACAGATTAAGTAGGCACATACTTAAAACTGGGCCAGATTTAGCAGCACAGAGATGGCTGGTTACCTAAACTAGGACACGTTTTGTCGAGTAGTGCTGACAGAAGCCTGACTAGTTCAGTGAGTTCTACGTCCCTATTCTTTGCCTATTTGTATGCAGTTTATTTTTAAAGGTGGTTCACTCATCCCCCCAACTAATATTTCTATCAATCACAATCACAACCATCCTGTTATTCGTTGATTGCCTCGAGCAGGCCCCAGTAACGTCTCCTTCGTCCTAGCCCTGAGATATTTTAGAAAGTGCCATATTCAAGGCTCTTTCAGAGTTAGGAGAATGAGACCCATCATTGTTACTGGTATTTGGCATATTGGGTACACCACGGGGAGTTTGCCAGACTCTGCCGTGTGGGCAGGTTACATTCGGTGGCTTGCCAGTTTGTCCAAAGTAGGAATGAGATGATAAGATGTCGCACGGCCACGAATGCGGCTGCACGCTTCCAGGAACTGGGTTTTATAGTCTCTGAGTTTTGGCCGTTGAGGGGATTACACGGCGCCAGGGGGCCAGTTGGTGGGTGTGACCCCCGCCTACTGGAATTTGGAGGATCTGGGTGGAGGATGCTCAGCCCCGATCTGAGTAAGCTTGGAGATATCAGCCCTGGGACCCGCGTGGCTTTGTTCCTCTGCCGGTACCTTCATGTGTGCGGAGAGTGGTCTCAGCATGGTGGTGGCTGGTTCTGGAGGTCTTTGGCTGCCGGAGCCCTGGTCGGGGCAGGGAGGAAAACTCAACCTGCTCCCCTCCAAGAGGTCCCGATGAGGACAGCCAGGTGCGGGGGCAGGAGACTCTGCGCTGTTCTCTTCCGGGAGCTGGGTTTTATAGTCTCTGAGTCTTGGCCGTTGATGGGATTACACGGCTGTCAGGGGGCCAGTTGGTGGGTGTGACCCCCGCCTACTGGAATTTGGAGGATCTGGGTGGAGGATGCTCTTCCCCGATCTTAGTAGGCTTGGAGATCTCAGCCCCGGGACCCACGTGGCTTTGTTCCTCTGCCGGTACCTTCATGTGTGCGGAGAGTGGTCTCAGTAAACTAATATTTACTAGTGTGATTTTGAAAACTAATATTTACTAGTGTGATTTTGAAAAATCCAATTTTAATTTGGCTTGTTGTCAGAATTTCTGGGTAGTGTGCAATTTTCTGTTTTGCTTTGGGGACCCTGGGGGCGCTCTGGGTTGACCACTAGCTCTGTGCTTCGGGTTACTTGCAGCTGTGCTCGGGAAACGAAAGATAGGGGGATCAGGTCTCGTGAATGCAAAGAACCGTTATGCTCTTTTCAGCTAGAGTGAGTTCCATTTTTTGAAATTTTTCATTTTTCAAATTGAGTCACTGTGACAGAGAACTGTAAAGCTGTCCATGATTGCATTTCAGTCATACAGTGTCCTGACACCCATCCCTCCACCAGTGTTATTTCCCAGCACCAGTGTCTCCAGTTCCCCTCCCACCCCTTCAAGCCACCCCCCACCTCTTCCTGCCACCACTCCCCACACCCCTTCCTGCCTCTGGCAGACACCTCTCTTCTCTCCGGAGTGAGGTTCTTGAAACCGATTAACTGGCAACACCAGGTTTTCAAGTAAAATTCTGAGGCCCCTCAAAACAGATCTGGGAACAGCAGCAGCAACAGGTACCTGGTGCAAACTTCCAGAGCACAGGAAAATGTTTACATAGGGGATGGAGGTGGGAGTAGGGGGCGGAGAACAGGGCAGGCAGTGGGACCTGCTTTTCTACTTCTTGTCCCTGAAATGGGGATCCACCCACCCATCCATCCTCCTTTCCTCTCATTCCTGTCCCTTTCCTAGCAGAGTTCACTAACTTTTTCAAGAAACTCAGGTTCCGAGCGTTT